CATAAAAAAAAAAAAAAAAAGAGAGAGAGAGAGAGAGACCAGGTTTGCTGGTCTGATAGAGCCTGATGGAACCCCTGAGACTATGGCCCCTAGCTGCGCTTCAGGTCCGGAATTGAACCCACTCCCATGGCTTCCAGCCAAACAAAAGATAGGCATATGAGCTGAACATTAACATTAGGTAGATACACTCCTTGGAGAGATCAATCATGGGAGAATAGAAGGGCTGTGTATGCACAGGGAAAAGGTAACTATGGGGAGGAAGTGAGAAGAGAGCTGTTGCATTGTGGGAAACTGCAGTCAATGTCATGAGACAAAGTGTATGTGAACTGCTATATGGAAAATGAATTTGCTCTGTAAACTTTCACCTAAATCACACACACACACACACACACATACACATGTTTATGGATTGAATTGTGTCTCCTAAAAATATGTGCTGTAAATCCTAAACTCTATGCCTGTAGTTATAATCTCACTTGGGAATCGAGTGTCTTTGTTATGTTAATGAGATAGGATTAATATACAGAGTGTGTCTTGAGTCAATCTCTTTCAAAATATAAAAGGAACAGATTAAGGAAGTAGAGGTGGGAATGGATAGATGCCATGCCACATGAAGATCACTAAGGAGCCAAGGAATAAGGACCTTTCCCCAGAGCCAACAGAGAAAAACCATTCCACTGGAGCTGATACAATGAATTCAGACTTCTAACTTCCTAAACTATGAGAAAACAAATTTGTTTGTTAAAGCCACCCATTTGTGTTATTTGTTATAACCCATTGCCATTGACTCAATTCTGACTTATAGTGACACTTCAGAACTGCCATATAAGGTTCCCAAGGCTGTTAATCTTTACAGAAGCACACTGCCTCATCTTTCTTCCATGGAGCAGCTGGTGGGTTTGAACCCTGACCTTTTGGTTTGCAGCTAAGTGCTTTAACCATTATGCTACCAGAGCTCTCTTTCTGTTATTACAGCATTAGATAAGTAAGAAAATATATATATAACAAAACTTGGCATTTTTAAATGTACAATTCAGTGACAATTACCATTCACTATATTGTACAACTATCACCACTGTGGTAGTTAAATTTGTGTGTCAGTTTGGCTGGGCCTGGTTGAGTGGCTGGGCAGCTAGACGTAGTATTCCCCATGATGAGACTGGTAATCAATTCCATGGTGGAATCTACTGTGAGCAGCTGAGTAGCTGCTTTAGGGATGTGGTCTGCTTTCTGTATATAAGGAGAAGCCTTGGGGAATGGTCTCTAGCTTACGGCATGCTTGACCCTGCATGTAGCCATGTCATTGCTCAGTAGCCTGCCATACTCTGCTGACCTTGGGACTTAAATGAATGGCCTGCCGTATGGTTTGGTAACATCAGGACTGTGCCATTTTATTTGTCAACCTTGGGCTTGTTTGCCTCAGCAGCCAGTAGCTGCCTGAGTGAAAAGATGCCTCTAGCTTCAGTGGACTGGGTGCGAGAGGCAAAGCTGAAGCCCAAGGTCAAGAGGTTTTCACCCAGCCCCTAGAGCCTGGCACTTTGAACTTGGACTTAAAGCCTCCAAACTATGTGAGAACAAACTCTTGTTTGTTAAGGCCATTCCATTTGTGGTATTTCTGTTAGAGCAGTATTAGGTAACCAACACAACCACTATCTATTTCCAAAAGTTTTCATTACCCCAAACAGAAACTCAATATCCCTTCAGTAATAAATCTCCACATACCCTCCAATCCCTAGTAACTACCGATAAACTGTTGTCTCTAAACATTTGCCTATTCTAGATAGTTCATGTCAGATAATACCATATTTGTCCTTTTGTGTCTGACTTACTTCACTCAGCATAATGTTTTAAAGGTTCTACCATGCTGTAGCATGTACCAGAACCTCACCTTATCCTTATGGCTGAATAATACTCCATTGTATGAATATATAATAATTTTGTTTATCCATTCATCTGTTGATGGACATGTGGATTGTTTCTACCTTTTGGCTACAATGTATAATGCTGCAAGGAATATTGGTTTACAAGTATCACTTTGAATCCTTGCTTTCAATTCTTTGGGGTATATACTTGGAAGGAAGGTTGGGCAATCCCAGTTCCGTAGTGATACTGCCTCGGAAACCCAAGGAGGGGTCGCTATGAGTCGGGGCCAACTCGACGGCACATAACAACAACAACAAACCTAGGAGTGGAGTTGCAGGGTCCTTTGGTAATTCTATAGTTAGTTTTTTCAGGAACCACCAAACTGTTTTTCACAGGCTGTACCACTTTACATCTGTATGAGAAATGTAGAAGGATTCTGTTTCTCCACATTCTTGCCAACACTTATTATTTTCCATTTTTCTGTTAATAGCCATCTTAGTGGGTGTGCTGTGCAGAGGTTTAAAAATGGGGAAAGAGGTGACTTGACTGAGAGATAAAAGGAAACTGGCATAGCTTGTAAGAGATACCTTCAACTTTATCTCTATTTATAACAGAGTCAAATTCTTCAACCTAAGCATGATAAACTTACTAGTAAATGTTATTACAAAAATTCTCAAGACTTATGCAGTATTTCTTTTGAAGAGGTGAGGATGAGTATATAGTCTTAATGGTACTCATAGCATCTGAAACTCAAAAATCTAATCTTTAGGAAAGAATGACAAAAGGCTAACATGGTAAGAAATCACGAACAGAATCCATATATAAAATCCTTAGGGCTCTTTAGAAGATATGCTAGACAAAATATTATTACTTCAATAATTTCTCTAAAGATGGTCTGGGAAAAGTCTATATAAGTACACTCCAGGTAGACCGGGAAACAAATTCAGAATGAATTTCAGACATACAAGTCATTCAAAATATGTTCCCAACACTTCAGTGTTAGGAGTAATTAGTGCTACACATGATTTAAGGGGGAAAAAAAAAAACAAAAACAATTCCCTTTTATCTTCCATCTTACTACACTTTAAGAACAACTGAAAACTTTCCCCTTGAATTCTATAGGAAATGGTGGATTCCCAAGTATCCCAAATTCAGCTTTAATTATTTCTTTTAAAGAGCATTTTATAGCCTTGGGGAAAAAAGAAAGAAAGAAAACGGAAAATGACTTAAAAAAATCACCTCTCAACAATGTTGAGGCAAGACACACCATCTTGGCCACCCACAGCATACAAAAAGCCTCCGAGCACTGCCACACCAACACTTGTCCTGCAGGTGCTTGTTGGAGCCACATCACTGCTCCACTGGTTTGTTTTGGGATCATATCTGCAAAGGACACATCAACAGCAGAGTTTATATAACACAAAGCAAGCCTGTCTGTGCTTACATATTCAAAATAAAAATAATTTATTTTATGTCCCCTAACTATTGGCTGATTGTAAGTAAGGCACATGAAAGTCTATTTATGTATTTATTTTTACTTAAAAATATCATATATAAATATATTCTCTTAAAAAAAAAATCAGAATGTTATAAATAAAGGTAAAGTCCCCTTTGAGTTCCACCCTAATTCTAGCCTCTTCTCCATTTTGATTTGATATATAACTTTGAAGACTTTTTAGCAAACTACTTTTTTTTTAAAAAATTTATTTATTTTTATTTGGGTTAAGATTTACAGAGCAAATTCACTTTCCATACAGCAGTTCACATATACTTTGTCTCATGTCATTGACCAGTTTACCACAATGCAACAGC